CAGCCAATCATAGGGTGACACGTCCCAGGCGGCGGCTGCCAGCCTTTATTAGGGGACGGGATTCTTGGCTCAGGGTCTCCGCTCTGGGAAGCTTATGCTCTCCTCTCAAGATGCATTAAAGCTTGTCTGCAGAAGGATCCGAGTGTCCCGTGTATGATTTCTTGCTGGCGAGGAATACAGAGCGGGCGCGGGACAATTATGTATATATTCAATTTGTAATTACAGAGAAAACTCATTGACCTTCCTGTAAATGGATGCTTAAGAATTTGTCTGTGGAAAAATGAACAGAGAGCTAAGAATGCTGCTGAGTGGGGCTTGCCTAGCATGCCCTGGGTTTGCTTCCCATGGCTTGCTCAGCCTGCTTTCTTATAGAGCCCTGGACCACCAGCCCAGGGATGACTCCATCCACAGTGGGCTGGGCCTTCCCCCATCAATAACTAATTAAGAAAATTCTCTGAAGCCAGATCTTATGCAGGCATTTCCCTAACTGAGGTTCCCTTCTCTCAAATGACTTTAGCTCATGTCAAGTTGATATAAAACTATTCAGTACACTAGAAGTCAATCAGATGTTGTTAGGTGGTCTAGAGTCAGCCCTGGCTCTCTGTGAGGAGATGGAGGTGAACAAAGTGCTGTGGATTCAGAAGATAAGAGAAGGGGAAATACGACAGGAAGTATGGACAGCCCTCTCCGGAAATTTTTCCTTAAGAGAAAGTTTTAGAAACTAGTGTGTATGTGTGTGTGCGTGTGACTTTGTTTTTTGCTTTTCTTTAAGGGGGGGGCGGCACCAGCCTTTGTGTGCTGATGGATCTGACCCAGGAAAGATGAGGCAGTGTCAAAGCCTGTGAAAATAGACAAGAGGCTTAAGACCTCGTATCCAAGTGAAGACGTTGCTCTTGACAGTTGCAACTATTGCAGCAGGACAAAACATAGGTGAGCAGGCACTTAGCCTGGCATATGGACTTTCTGTTAGTGATTGGGCATTTGGAAGCTGCCCCCCAGACAAGGTTTCTCTGTGTAGCAGCTCTGACTGTCCTGGAACTCACTCTAGGCTGACTTCGAACTCACAGAGACCTGCCTGCCTCTGCCTCCCAAGTGCTGAGTTTAGAGGCATGCACCACCACAAAGCTAGAAGCTCTCTTTTTAATGTGTGTATTTCTCAGTGAAATAGCAAGCCTGCTATGGTCTGAGAATGAAGGTCCTGGAGTCTAGAAGAGAATGAAGGAAAAATAATTTTCTAAAAAGATAGAAAGGTGATATGATCTTGAAGAAACAATGGCTGTGCTAGTGAGCTTTTATTATCAACTGGATACACCCTAAAGCTGTCTGAAAAAGAGATGGCCTAGGTCAGATGGACATGTGGGTATGTCTTCAGGAAATTGTTTTGATTACTAATTGATGCAGGAGGAGCCCTGCTCACTGTGGGCAGAATCATTACCTGGCTGGGTAAGAAAGCTAGGTGACCCGGCCAGCAAGCGGCACCCTCCATGATTCCTGCTGAGTCCCTTGATGGAAGCAATTCTGCATGGAATAGGAAGTCAGCTGCCTCCAGCTTCCCACCTGACTTCTTTTGTTTTTTCAATAATATACTATAACCCAAAACTGAAACATGCCTTTCCTCCTGCAAGTTGCTTTTGGCAAGAGCCCTTTAACACAGCAACAGAGAGCAAGCCAGAACAAGGTCAGATTCATGAAGCTGAGGTGTCTTTATAGTGGTTTGTTTTCTTTCTGTCATTTCCAGTCACCAGGTACAGATTCTGGGAAAGGAAGAGATGGATGTCATCAAGGCAGAGATTCTATGTGAACAGGCATGTGCTCTTTCTAGACCTCACACTTAAAGACAGGGACCAAGGCTTTCCCTTCCTCTTCGTATCTGTCCCTCTGTTCTGTCGTCAGCATGGCTGACTCACACTAGGTCAGGCAGGTGAAGACGGTGCCCTGGAGTAAGAGCACATCGATTTGGAAGGAATACAGAGCAGAGCCGCTGGTGAAGTTATCTCATGTAAGACATCATTTTACATCATTCTCAACATTAACACGTCCACATGTGTCCAGGTACATGATAGACCAAGCAGCTTCCAACCATAGCTTGCTTGTTACCATTGATAGATGTTAGTAGGGAGTGATTCACAGCTGAAAAAAATCTTATAGGCACACAGAAGAA